AAAAAGAAAGAGAGAGAGAAAAGAAAGAAAGAAGAAAGAAAGGAAAGAAAGGAAAGAAAGAAAGAAGGAAAGAAGGAAAGAAAGAAAGAAAGAGAAAGAGAGAGAGAAATAAAGAAAGAAAGAAGGAAAGCAAGAAAGAAAGAAAGAAAGAAAAAGAAAGAGAGAGAGAAAAGAAAGAAAGAAGAAAGAAAGGAAAGAAAGGAAAGAAAGAAAGAAGGAAAGAAGGAAAGAAAGAAAGAAAGAGAAAGAGAGAGAGAGAAAGAAAGAAAGAAAGAAAGAGGAAAGAAGGAAAGAAAGAAAGAAAAAGAAAGAGAGAGAGAAAAGAAAGAAAGAAGAAAGAAAGGAAAGAAAGGAAAGAAAGAAAGAAGGAAAGAAGGAAAGAAAGAAAGAAAGAGAGAGAGAAAGAAAGAAAGAAAGAAAGAAGAAAGAAGGAAGGAAGGAAAGAAAGAAAGAAGGAAGGAAGGAAGGAAAGAAAGAAAGAAAGAGAAAGAGAGAGAGAAAGAAATAAAGAAGGAAAGAAAGAAATGGGATAAATGTCATTTCTGAACAAGTGGTGAAACAGCAGAACCATCTCAAGTTATATAGTCAATCTGTTACCTTTATTGAACAAATAATTTATGGTCTACAAGGCAAAAATAAGACATTTTCCAACCATTATTCTGATATAAGATCAACTTAAAGCAGACCTTTAGTGGGAGATTAAAGAAACAAGATCAAAGTCAGAGCTCTGGGGGACTAGCTACCATGGAAGAATATTTCGCATTAACAAACCAGGAGTGAACTGTGTGTATGTAACAACATAAACTAACCTTCTTCTTTGTTTCTAAAGTGCTTTCTGATATTGTGGGACAGCAACGCTAAACATAATAAGATAAAGGAGTTATCTCTTCTGCAAGAATGTGTCTGCTTTAAAACTATAGAGATTATTTTTTTAAAGGAGATAGAAAGGTCACTGGAGACTTAAGTATTGAGCAAATAAAATATCGTGGAGTTTCAGCAGATGGCACTCTTCTGTGAATAACCAATCCTTCAGCTTTATCTTCTCATTTCATTTTTTTTTTTATTTGACTGCCATGATATGCTACTTCCAATGCTAAGGAACACCTGTGATCTGTTTCTAATGACTGTACTGACAAAAGATAACACATCGCCTCCAAAGTTATTTATTAAGCTGAATATTGTTTGACAAGCAAAACCACAAGACTTGGAAAAAAGGCAAAATCTAAAATATATTGTTGGCTAAAATAAAATAAATACAGACTCTTATTTGATACAGTGCAGAGATGCAGAAGAGCGTTGGCTAGCTGAATGGGATTGTCTAGAGATGTAGTGTAACACACAACTCTGCTGTATAACACCTAATCACTGCTTTATATTTTCCAGGTATAGTTTCTGCTTAAAGAAATCATCTTGCATTGCTTAATAGTTGGACCTATCCTGAAAGATACTGTAGGTCCTGAGAGATAGGAATGATGAATTATAAAACAAATATAGGCCATCAACATTAGAGAAAGAGAAGCTGAGGAGGGAGGAAGAGAAAGAAAGAGAAGGAGAGAGGGTAGGAAGGAGAAGAAAGAGGGTAGGAGTAGGGGAGAG